CATTTGTAATAAGCATATAGGGGTTTGTGATTAATTTTTTCACACAAGAAAATTGCATGATTTGATTATTAGTGACAGAGCATCTGGTAAGGTTTTTGAAGGATGGAAGTTCCTGGTGCTGGTGCCACTCAGGCACAACAAAATCCAGGTGGGACTTGAAGCTAACTAAAGATTTGCTATTTAAGTGAAGCATTTCAAAAGTTTATATCAAATTTGTTTAAACTGAATTTCTTGTGAACATCCGCAGAGCCATTCATCTCCTGATTCGTTATTTCACAAATGTGAACTTAATTTGTATATATATTATTTTTTATTATAGAAATTGTGAGCCCTCTGAATCAGTCTGCACATTTTTTTCCCTGCCATTTAAAAACCCAACCAACTATTACCTTGTTAGATAAATTCCATAGTGTTTATGCCATTAAATCCTATTTATGCAATCATCTTAACATTTAAATTAATAATTCACTCTAATGGTATTAAAGAGTTCCCGTAGTGCAGTGGTAAAGCACTCGCCCGGCGCTTCGCGAGCACTTTTGCCTGAGTTCGTATCCTGACCGGGAGGATTGACCGGGTGACAATCCTTAACTGTAGCCTCTGTTCACCCAGCAGTGAATGGGTTCCTGTTTGTTAAACGATTTGGCTTGTCATATTCTGGGGAAAATTAGGATTAAGGACTTGCCCAAAAAGCTATGCGTGCTAGTGGCTTTACAAGAGTGTAAGAACTCTTGTATATACAAGAGTTCTTGTATATATACTTGTAATAATAAATGTGATATTATTTATTGGACTCGTATTACACCACACTCATTAAGAATATCTAATCAACCCCAATTATTCTTAACCATTTATGACGTGATAAAACTATTAATATGATGCTCAAGTATTAACGTTTGAATTGGCAAGAAAGTTTTCACCTTTAGATCTATATATAAACATTCGAAACCTATAGTAATATTACTATAGGAGTAATATTTCTAATTTGAAAATTATCGATTGTGAAATGGCCACCTGGCATCTATCATATTTAGTGATGATTTGAAAGCAATTTTCTTTCAAAAGTTGCTTATTTCAAGTAACCTATTTTCTGGGTTCTTAAGGAAACAGCCAGTGATCAGAGTAGGAGCTGCTCCAGCAAGAAACATACATATAACATCAGGATTTACAAGTGAGCAAAATTGGGATTCATAAGTGATGAAACAAGACAAAATGTCAAAATGTAGATTGTGCAGCACAGGCTACCATCGGGTGTGGACCACAGTTGTAGACTATCATCAGCTGGAACCATAGTTTTAGGCTACCATTGGCTGGAACCATAGTTGAAGGCTACCATTGGCTGGGAACCAAAGTTGTAGGCTACAATCGGCTGGTAACCAAAGTTGTAGGCTACAATCGGCTGGGAACCACAGTTGTAGACTACCATTGGCTGGAACCATAGTTGTAGGCTACTATTGGCTGGAACCATAGTTGTAGGCTACTATTGGCTGGGAACCAAAGTTGTAGGCTACCATTGGCTGGGAACCACAGTTATAGGCTACTATTGGCTGGGAACCAAAGTTGTAGGCTACCATTGACTGTGAACCACAGTTGTAGGCTACCATCAGCTGGGAACCAGGGTTGTAGGCTACCATCGGCTGGGAACCTCAATTTCAGGCTACCATTGGCTGGGACCACAGTTGTAGGGTACCATTGGCTGTGAACCACAGTTGTAGGCTTCCGTTGGCTGGGGACTACAGTTGTAAGCTACTGTCTGCTGGGGACCACAGTTGTAGGATACCATCGGTGGGGAACCTCAATTTTGGGCTACCATCGGCTGGGAACCACAGTTGTAGGCTACAATTGGCTGGGAACCACAGTTGTAGGCTACAATTGGCTATGGACCACAGTTGTAGGCTACCATCAGCTGGGGACCACAGTTGTAGACTACCATCAGCTGGGAACCACAGTTGTAGACTACCATCGGCTGGGAACCACAGTTGTAGGCTACAATCGGCTATGGACCACAGTTGTAGACTACCATCAGCTGGGAACCACAGTTGTAGACTACCATCAGCTCGGGACCACAGTTGTAGGCTACCATTGACGGGGAACTACAGTTGTAGGCTACCATCGGCTGGGGACCACAGTTGTAGGCTATCATTGGCTGGGAACCACAGTTGTAGACTACCATTGGTGAGGACCACAGTTGTAGGCTACCATCAGCTGGGAACCACAGTTGTAGGCTACCATTGGTGAGGACCACAGTTGTAGACTACCATCAGCTGGGAACCACAGTTGTAGACTACCATCAGCTGGAAACCACAGTTGTAGACTACCATCAGCTGGAAACCACAGTTTTAGGCTACCATCGGCTGGGGACCACAGTTGTAGGCTACCATTGATGGGGAACTACAGTTGTAGGCTACCATCGGCTGGGGACCACAGTTGTAGACTACCATTGGCGGGGGAACTACAGTTGTAGACTACCATTGGTGGGGGAACTACAGTTGTAAGCTACCATCGGCTGGGGACCACAGTTGTAGGCTATCATTGGCTGGGAACCACAGTTGTTGGCTACCATCAGCTGGGAACCACAGTTGTAGATTACCATCAGCTGGGAACCGCAGTTGTAGTCTACCATCAGCTTGGCATCACAGTTGTAGGCTACCATTGGCTGGGGATCACAGTTGTAGACTTCAATCAGCTTCGGACCACAGTTGTAGGCTACCATTTGCTGGGAACCTCTGTTACAGGCTACCATCAGCTGGCAACCTCGATTTTGGGCTGCTATTGGTTGGGAACCACAGTTGTAGGCCACCATTGGCTGGGGACTACAGCTGTAGGCTACCATTGACTGTGAACCACAGTTGTAGGCTTCCATTGGCTGGGGACCACAGTTGTAGAATACCTTTGGCTGGGAACCTCGATTTTGGGCTACCATCAGCGGGGAACCATGGTTGTGGGTTACCCTCAGCTGGGAACCTCGGTTTCGAGCTACCCTCAGCTGAGAACCACAAGTGTATGCTATGATTAGCTTGGAACTGTAGGTGTTTCCCACCTTTAGCTGGGAACCGCTGGTGTAGACTACATTTAGCTGGAAACCTCGGGTGTAGGTTAGCATCAGCTGGGAACTGCTGGCATAGGCTAGCATCAGCCGGAAACCTCAGTTGTTGGGTAGCATCAGCTGGGAACTGCTGGCGTAGGCTAGCATCAGCTGGGAACTGCTGGCGTAGGCTAGCATCAGCTGGGAACTGCTGGCGTAGGCTAGCATCAGCTGGGAACTGCTGGCGTAGGCTAGCATCAGCTGGGAACTGCTGGCGTAGGCTAGCATCAGCTGGGAACTGCTGGCGTAGGCTAGCACCAGCCGGGAACTGCTGGCGTAGGCTAGCACCAGCCGAGATCTGCTGGCGTAGGGTAGCACCAGCCGAGAACTGCTGGCATCACCAGCCGAGAGTCATTGGTGTAGGACTGTCGCCAGCTGAGAGTCATCAGTGTAGGGCTGTCGTCAGTGCAGAGCTTTGAAAGAAGGCCACCATCAGCTGGGAACCTCCAGTGTAGACTTCCATCCATGTAGGCTACCGTCAGGTGGGAGTCACATGTGTAGGGCTGCTAGCAACAAGAAATTGCAGGTGTAGGGTACATCAACTTGGAGTGAGAGGTGTGGGGTTACCATCATCTGGGAATTGCAAGTAGGCACATGGGCGCCACTTAAGCAGAAAATGGTAACGGGGAAAACATTTGTTCAGAGCCAGACTCCAAAGATATTTAATTGTCATTTGGCAGACCCCTGTATCCCCATCCCCACCAGTTGTGCATATATGGGCAGCTAAGGACTGCTGACCACCTATCTACCCAGTACTGATAAATACACATACAAATATACCCTTATCCTAAGGCCAAGTGTTAAAGCTAAATTTCCTTAAGGTGCAAATCTTTTGTATATAACAGCAGTATAACATAGTTGCCAGAGGTACTTGCATAAAATAATTGCACAATTTTGCATTACTAATATTAAAAAGCAGATTTTTTTTTGTTAATCTCAAAATTTCTTTTCAAAAGTTAAAATGTAACTTTTAATTATATCAGACCTGTTTACGGCTAATAATATTTTAATCAGCATTTGGCTGCAGTTCACAATTAAATTATGCAATTTTATGGGTTAATAAATGGTGAAGTATCCTGAGTCATGTGTAAAATATGGGGCATTTGTGTGTTCCATCATGCATAGTGACTTGTGTAATGAACACTGCCTCTAATTAAACTGTTTCAAGTAAACTGTTTAAGAGTAAAATCTATGAAGATTCTTTGATTTATTAAGCAATTTCTAGAGTCAATTGCATCCTCCCATTCACAGTTTCTATTTAACAAGCCATAAAAATACATTCTTCATTCTCTCAAGCTCGTCTTTACATCTATGACCATCTGTAATTTGAGCGTGAATAATAAACTTGTACATTATTGGCAGGTCTCGTATATTAACCCACATAAACACTTTTTATATGGATCTTTGCTTGTGCTTGTACCTCAGGTGCCGTGATTGCAGCCAATGGAAGCATGAAGTTATTAGTCATTAGAGCCAAATTGTCATCCTACAAAAATATATACAGTACTCGTATACACACTCAACATACTGTGTTTTATATCATAGTTAAATTGACTGCTTATTTGGTTCAATTTCATGTTTTACCAGTGGTTAGATATTTTTTTCTGATTAAGCAGTGCCACTGTTTTAACTTTTGTATTGCTTCAGTACCTCCAGTATTAGTATATTGCATCCTGTCATACAGCTGGAAGAGCTACTCAAACTAACCTGCACCTTCAGGAGTTTGTGTGGTAAATGTTGTCACCCATATGTGGCAGGTAGTGTGTTGAGCCATATGTGGCAGGTAGTATGTTGAGCCATATGTGGCAGGTAGTATGTTCAGCCATATGTGGCAGATAGTATGTTGAGCAATATGTTGATGTGTGGGCTGTTGTGCAGTCCATGTGTTGGGTGAGGACTGAGGCATGTATCATTGCAGGTGCAATGTCCCCCGCGCCCTCACGTCTGGCGCCCCTGCCTAGCCCTACGGGGCTCAGCCCTCGCCCTCGTCCAAAGTCCCTGTTTGTGCGGCTCAATAGTTTCCGCAAAGCCTCGCTTCTTAGCCTGTCCTCGACAGCGTCCAGTCCACAGTGCGAGGCTCCCGCATTTACCTTTGACGATTTGCTCAGGCTGCATAAACGTAAGGCTGTGCATCCTCCTCCACTACACACTCGCTCTTCGACCTCGCACCTCTCTCCATACTGATGCTATAGATACACTTCTCTCTTCTGTATATACACTTGCACCTCTCTATACTGATGCTATAGATACACTTCTCATCTGCATTTACACACTCTCCATACTGATGCTGTAGATACACTTCTCTTCTGTGTCTACATACTTTTGTTAATGTAATAGATTTCTAAACTCATCTGCGTACCTTTTATGAACTTGGATATTACATTGCTCTCATTATCAAAATTTATCCTAATATTAACAGAAATATGTAATTTCAAATTAACAGGTCTCATTCCTCCCAAATGGTGCATGGTTTCTTGCTGTTTCAATTTTTCACAAACTGTGTGTCACCTGCCACCATGTAAATATGGTATATTAGTCTCGCCCTCTTTGCTCCAGTCATAAGACCCTCATTTCACCAACAATATTTTGGTTTTTCTAATAAATATAGCTTTTTGCATATTCCTACTTGTTCTAGATTGATCTTGGCACATTTGAAATTTTTTGGTTTTATGTAAACAAAATCTCTTTGTGACCGGGAACAGTTTTTCTACTTTATCACAGCTATTTCATTGTTTTCATAATTATATCGAAACATGTTATTGAAAATTAAAGTTCAGTAATATGAAATACTGTACAAGCCTTTATTCATTTAAATCTAGAGAAAGTGTCTTATGCAATTTTCTGTCAATGCTTTACTTTGCCATACAGTATATAGCATTTAGCAGCATTCCTAAAAAATATTGAAGATGCGTTTGTACTTATGCTGGATTAAAATATAATAAATATATATATATATATATATATATATATATATATATATATATATATATATATATATATATATATATATATATATATATATATATATATATGTCGTACCTAGTAGCCAGAATGCACTTCTAGGCCTACTATGCAAGGCCCAATTTGCCTAATAAGCCAAGTTTTCATGAATTAATTGTTTTTCGACTACCTAACCTACCTAACCTAACCTAACCTAACTTTTTCGGCTACCTAACCTAACCTAACCTATAGAGATAGGTTAGGTTAGGTTAGGTAGGGTTGGTTAGGTTCGGTCATATATCTACGTTAATTTTAACTCCAATAACAAAAAATTGACCTTATACATAATGAAATGTGTAGCTTTATTATTTCATAAGAAAAAAATTAGAGAAAATATATTAATTCATGAAAACTTGGCTTATTAGGCAAATTGGGCCTTGCATAGTAGGCTGAGAAGTGCGTTCTGGCTACTAGGTACGACATATATATATATATATATATATATATATATATATATATATATATATATATATATATATATGTCGTACCTAATAGCCAGAACGCACTTCTCAGCCTACTATTCAAGGCCCGATTTGCCTAATAAGCCAAGTTTTCATGAATTAATGTTTTTTCGTCTACCTAACCAACCTAACCTAACCTAACCTAGCTTTTTTTGGCTACCTAACCTAACCTTACCTATAAATATAGGTTAGGTTAGGTTAGGTAGGGTTGGTTAGGTTCGGTCATATATCTACGTTAATTTTAACTCCAATAAAAAAAAATTGACCTCATACATAGAGAAAAGGGTTGCTTTATCATTTCATAAGAAAAAAATTATAGTATATATATTAATTCAGGAAAACTTGGCTTATTAGGCAAATCGGGCCTTGAATAGTAGGCTGAGAAGTGAGTTCTGGCTACTAGGTACGACATATATATATATATATATATATATATATATATATATATATATATATATATATATATATATGTCGTACCTAGTAGCCAGAACTCACTTCTCAGCCTACTATTCAAGGCCCGATTTGCCTAATAAGCCAAGTTTTCCTGAATTAATATATTTACTATAATTTTTTTCTTATGAAATGATAAAGCAACCCATTTCTCTATGTATGAGGTCAATTTTTTTTATTGGAGTTAAAATTAACGTAGATATATGACCGAACCTAACCAACCCTACCTAACCTAACCTAACCTATATTTATAGGTAAGGTTAGGTTAGGTAGCCAAAAAAAGCTAGGTTAGTTTAGGTTAGGTAGGTTAGGTAGACGAAAAAACATTAATTCATGAAAACTTGGCTTATTAGGCAAATCGGGCCTTGAATAGTAGGCTGAGAAGTGCGTTCTGGCTATTAGGTACGACATATATATATATATATATATGTCGTACCTAATAGCCAGAACTCACTTCTCAGCCTACTATTCAAGGCCCGATTTGCCTAATAAGCCAAGTTTTCATGAATTAATGTTTTTTCGTCTACCTAACCTACCTAACCTAACCTAACCTAGCTTTTTTTGGCTACCTAACCTAACCTTACTTATAAATATAGGTTAGGTTAGGTTAAGTAGGGTTGGTTAGGTTCGGTCATATATCTACGTTAATTTTAACTCCAATAACAAAAATTGACCTCATACATAGAGAAAAGGGTTGCTTTATCATTTCATAAGAAAAAAATTATAGTAAATATATTAATTCAGGAAAACTTTGCTTATTAGGCAAATCGGGCCTTGAATAGTAGGCTGAGAAGTGAGTTCTGGCTACTAGGTACGACATATATATATATATATATATATATATATATATATATATGTCGTACCTAGTAGCCAGAACTCACTTCTCAGCCTACTATTCAAGGCCCGATTTGCCTAATAAGCAAAGTTTTCCTGAATTAATATATTTACTATAATTTTTTTCTTATGAAATGATAAAGCAACCCTTTTCTCTATGTATGAGGTCAATTTTTGTTATTGGAGTTAAAATTAACGTAGATATATGACCGAACCTAACCAACCCTACTTAACCTAACCTAACCTATATTTATAAGTAAGGTTAGGTTAGGTAGCCAAAAAAAGCTAGGTTAGGTTAGGTTAGGTAGGTTAGGTAGACGAAAAAACATTAATTCATGAAAACTTGGCTTATTAGGCAAATCGGGCCTTGAATAGTAGGCTGAGAAGTGAGTTCTGGCTATTAGGTACGACATATATATATATATATATATATATATATATATATATATATATATATATATATATATATATATATATATATATATATATATATATATATATATATATATATATATATATATATATATATATATATATATATATATATATATATATATATATATATATATATATATGTCGTACCTAGTAGCCAGAACGCACTTCTCAGCTTACTATGCAAGGCCCAATTTGCCTAATAAGCCAAGTTTTCATGAATTAATTGTTTTTCGACTACCTAACCTACCAAACCTAACCTAACCTAACTTTTTCGGCTACATAACCAAACCTAACCTATAAAGATAGGTTAGGTTAGGTTAGGTAGGGTTGGTTAGGTTCGGTCATATATCTACGTTAATTTTAACTCCAATAAAAAAAAATTGACCTCATACATAATGAAATGGGTAGCTTTATCATTTCATAAGAAAAAAATTAGAAAAAATATATTAATTCAGGAAAACTTGGCTTATTAGGCAAATCGGGCCTTGAATAGTAGGCCAAAAAGTGAGTTCTGGCTACTAGGTACGACATATATATATATATATATATATATATATATATATATGTCGTACCTAGTAGCCAGAACGCACTTCTCAGCCTACTATGCAAGGCCCAATTTGCCTAATAAGCCAAGTTTTCATGAATTAATATATTTTCTCTAATTTTTTTCTTATGAAATAATAAAGCTACACATTTCATTATGTATAAGGTCAATTTTTTGTTATTGGAGTTAAAATTAACGTAGATATATGACCGAACCTAACCAACCCTACCTAACCTAACCTAACCTATCTCTATAGGTTAGGTTAGGTTAGGTAGCCGAAAAAGTTAGGTTAGGTTAGGTTAGGTAGGTTAGGTAGTCGAAAAACAATTAATTCATGAAAACTTGGCTTATTAGGCAAATTGGGCCTTGCATAGTAGGCCTAGAAGTGCATTCTGGCTACTAGGTACGACATATATATATATATATATATATATATATATATATATATATATATATATATGTCGTACCTAGTAGCCAGAACTCACTTCTCAGCCTACTATTCAAGGCCCAATTTGCCTAATAAGCCAAGTTTTCCTGAATTAATATATTTACTATAATTTTTTTCTTATGAAATGATAAAGCAACCCTTTTCTCTATGTATGAGGTCAATTTTTTTTTATTGGAGTTAAAATTAACGTAGATATATGACCGAACCTAACCAACCCTACCTAACCTAACCTAACCTATATTTATAGGTAAGGTTAGGTTAGGTAGCCAAAAAAAGCTAGGTTAGGTTAGGTTAGGTAGGTTAGGTAGACGAAAAAACATTAATTCATGAAAACTTGGCTTATTAGGCAAATCGGGCCTTGAATAGTAGGCTGAGAAGTGCGTTCTGGCTATTAGGTACGACATATATATATATATATATATATATATATATATATATAATATAATATAATAACTCGAGTTCATTATTCTTTTTTGAATACCAAATAGGCATAGCATTTACCAAGTTAAGTATTTGTCTTCCAAATTATCACTATACAGTATATAAATGTACATAAAACCCAACACAATGTAGCCTTTGTCTAATAAACACACACTGCTATATATACTACAGTTATAAACTTGCTTAAGCCACACTTCCTGCTTGCTGCTGCTTGCTTAGGTCGTGCTTCATATTGGCTTCTCTTGCTTGCATTGCACTTGGTAGCTAAACATAGAGACCTATAAACTGAAGTGTGATTTTTGGTAAGGAAGACTATTTTTTACACTTTTTTTTTGACCCTCTATAAGGAACATTTTTGGAAAGTTTTGGAATATGATCTACTCTTGTGATTCATTATACTTACATTAACAGAAAATTAATCTGCATATAAATAAAATCTATCTAGAAACAGGATGCCATTTTTAAGTTCCCATCTTCTACCTATCTTGAGTTCCACTGCATTGTCT